GTAACATCTCTACGAAGTTACATTAAGGATACGAACCACACCATGATTTTATTGTATGATTTTCATCGCATAGGCCATGAAAATTATAATTTTATCAAGTTTCTTTTCACTTCAGTTATTTAAAACAAAGGACTTCTTGCATTTAAATAATTTTTAGACCTCGTGGAAACACAGATCATCTTGCGTACGTACTTCTCTGTCTAGCTGAATTGGTGTTAACTAACAGCCCTCTCTTCAATGGTAAATATTATACATAAACTTGTGGGATCAATATGAACAGAAAAATGAACAGATCGTTTGAAATTTTGTTTATTAATTTGACCGAAAATAAGTTTTGAGCCCTAGAGAAACACCTAGTATGTACCGCAAGTATGTGTTTGATGTTGTCGGTAGAACTTCAATGGGTAAAGACAACCTCAGAAAATGTTTCACAGCACGTCACTTGTTTTCACCCTGTCCTCGAATTCTCTTACACAACATACAGTAAAAAACTTTCATTTCTAGGTATCGAACTTTCTCTCAGTAAAGCTGCATCTTTTCTAGCATATATTATAAAACTATTGATTCTCATTCAACCGATATTTTAATTCTTCTCACCTATACAACACTAAAAAATTCCTCCCTTACTCTAAGTTCCTAAGACTGTGCAAGTTATGTAATGAAGTTAATAGTTTTACTATCAAAATCCAGAAAATGACTGATTCTTTTCATAAGAAGAGACTATTCCCAATTTTTAATATTCGACGCTGTCTCGAAGGCAGCTAATAAATCTTGTGAAATATATTTTCGTTCAGACTAGAAAGATAACAAAGATCGCATTCTTCTAGTTCTGACATACCATCCTATCAAAATAAAGTAAATAATGTAACCACAGGTAACTGCAAAATAATTACAGAAGATCCTACCATCAAGATAATACAGATATGGTACTAATATTCACAGCCTTTTGGGACATAATGTATTAACATCTATTAACCAAACTAAGAACTCACCTGATAGTCGACTTTGTGAAACATCCAGATGCGTCATTTGTGAATAAATACGAAGACTTGAATTCATCTTTCGTATAAGACAGTCCTTCACTTGTATACCCTACTGTCCCGTTTATTGTATAACATAAAAAAGTGTTATGGACAGTTAAATGTTGGAAAAAGAAACTGTTTCCTCGGGGATAGATCCCGTGAACATCATAGTGGAATAAAGAAAATCCTTGCAGATGCCACTTTGATAGTCCAGAAAATGACATCAGTGATCTCTCTTTAGAGGTTTTGGTACAGGATTGTACCATGTGTTTTCTACTACCTAAAATTAATATGCAGGTTTTTCAAAATCTTTATACTTTCTTTCAATTCAATTTAGACGTGGAAAATTGTTCAAGTAAACACATGTTAACTTTGGTTCTTGTTAGCTCTGTCTGGATCTTAATTCGCTAAACGGCAATAACAAAGTTTCTTGCAGAGAAAATAGTAGGTAATGTCCAGCAATAGAAAACTGTCAGTGAATCGGGTAATGGCCCGAGGTTTCCATGCCCAAGTAGTTGAGCACGTGTGGACAGAAGTCACCTGCAGGGTAGTGTGTAAACCTAGTTTAAGTTGTTATTGTATGATTTGTATTAAAAGACAGGTTCTCCTTTGTTTAACAGATTTTGCTGAACTTTAACTCTTAGACTTGAACTGTTGCTTTATTTTTGATGTTGAATATATATTGTAACTTTACTGAGATATTAGCAGGATTTTTTCACTTAAATTTCTATACACCGGTAGGATAGCTGTAAGTTATGAACTTACAAAGCTAAAATCTGGAGTTTGATTCCCCGAGGTGGACGCAACAAGTAGCTCAATGTGGCTTTGATCTATAAAAACAAACAAAACTTAACTTTTCTTTAGTTTTTGTGAGACTTTACTTTTATTATAACTTTATGTTTGTTTTAGAGTTTTAATAGAGTATTTTATTTTAACTTAACTTTGGGTTTAACTTAAACACAATAAAACTGTAGTTTACTTTAGACGGGGAGCAAAGCTCACACAGAAGGTTTCACTTCTCTTCTCTCTCTCACCAGTCCAAAATACACTCACAACAGGCCCACTTTGTGATAGTAACTGTGCTTGTGATTCACTAGTTTGTTAATAAAGTTTATTCTTGTACACCGTCCGTGATTCGACTCTTGCTTCCTAACAAACTCAGTGAGAGATCAGGCAAACAGACACACACACACTCAATAACTTAGAATTTTCGAACCTCCAGTTAGCGGGCCCTAACTGACTATTGAAAGGAAAATCCGCGAGGAAGACAATACTACATGGTACCCAAGTATGCTCCTTCGAATATCATTAAAAAGAGAACACCTATAAAACAGAATAAATCAAGTATTCTTCATAAATTAAGTATAAAACCGAATAATTCATAAATTGAACGCACACACTTATTTTTTATTGTCTTTCAGAATTTGTAGTGGATACTGGAGGGATTTACAAGTTTCAATAATAAACTTAGAAAAAACTACCTTTACACCCCAAATAATTAATTGTAAGAGAACACGTATTTCAATCGACGTTTCGCCTTTTTCATTTATTCAGGGCTAGTAAATAAAATTATATATTTGCTATACCGATCATTATTACCGTTTATTTGAATTTATTTTATCATAATTTAGCAAATACTTTTATTCCAAGGTGGTACCTTTTTTAGTACATGATACTGAGAAAAATAAGTTTAATATGACCTATTTGAAATCATTAACATTCCAACACGTTTTCTATCAGTTTTTAACACCCATGTTAAATAAGATGCCACTTCAAAAATATTTTTTTCATTCATTAAATCACAAAAACTTATAAGTAATGCAATATTGTTACACTGTACATATATTGTTACACACACGTTTGCTAAAGCAAATATGTTAAAATTCAAATTTCCTATAGCCGACTGTTATATCCCGAAAACGATAACTATACTGATAAATACATTTTTGTCTGCAGCACTTATCCAGTTTATTTTTATATGGCAGCAATTTATTTTTATGCTTATGTTATCGTTCTGTCGCCAAAAACCATTTTTACAAATTTAATGAATATTAGTAAAACATTTCGACAAGGCACGATCTTAAATATGGCTTCAGAAATTAAAAAAAAATCAAAGAAATAATAAAAAGTACTTAACTATAGTTAAGTTTCACTACCGAGCGAATTGTAGCCATAACTAAAAGTTTTATTTATATATAATATACATATCCAGTGAAAGTTGTGATAGTTTTAACATTATTGACAGCCATGTTGTTTACTTTGTATTTTTCATGATCATACTCTTCTCAACAATGTATAAATGTTAATACTTGGGTATCAATCAATGAAAGAAATATAAAAGCATGTTATACACACTTCATATGTTAGTTGTTGAAAACGTGTGTGTTTAAACGTAGATTTGTAAAGTTTAGAACCATGTTTCGGACAGTTTGCCTATTCAGGAAGTTGCACTGCCCTAAAAATGGAACTTTGATTATATTGTAACAACATTACGTTAGCTTAGTATTGTTAACAAAAATCACGCCGTTGTTAGGTAACGAATTACTAGAAACTACATGTTGACTCGGTAATGACAGAGTATTTCACCCAAGTTTTGTAAATTTTATTGGGTTTTATTTTAAATGCATTACTCGTATATTTTATGAAAGTGGTTCATCTCATTGTTTTTTTATACCAAATTTGTCAAAGATACTTGTCAGATAACCGAGTTAACCATGGCAAAAACTCCGAAACAAGTCGGATGTGTGTCGAGTTCCAATGCCGATACAGTTTTTTACGTTGGTAACTTTAATTCAGCTTACAAAGAATTACAATCACCAAAAAACATCGTAAAAACTCTTCTGCGTGGAAGGTCTTCGAATGAAAGGCTTCTTAACATTAAAGGATATACAGTTGGAACGCAGATTGGCTGTGGTACGTTTGCTTCAGTCAAGTTAGCTTATTGTACAGCAGAAGACCAGCTAGAAGAACTTGCTGTAAAAATTGTGGCACGAGACAGAGCACCAAAAGAATTCACGAATAAATTTTTTCCTCGTGAGTTAGAAATATTAAAAAAATTAGACCACAGCAATATCATCAAACTTCATGCGATATATCACTTGCCGGAAAAGACTTATATTTTCATGGAGTTAGCCCGAAAAGGTGATGTCATTGAATACATTCAGGTTAATGGACCTTCTTCAGAACAATTAGCGAAAAGGTGGTTCCATCAAATTATTCGAGCTTTGCGGTATTGTCACCGTCTAGAAATTGCTCACAGAGACTTAAAGTGTGAGAACATATTGCTGGATGATTCATTAAATGCTAAGCTTACAGATTTCGGGTTTTCCAGAACATGCTTCGACCCAACAACAAACCGGCGGATTCTAAGCGAGACGTACTGTGGGAGTGCAGCCTATGTGGCCCCAGAAGTTGTTCGAGCAGTACCATATAATCCTATGTTATCTGATCTTTGGAGTCTGGGAATTTGCCTCTTTGTAATTCTCAACAACTCTATGCCTTTTGACGACTTTAATCTAAATAAAATGCTCAGGGACCAGGAAAAGCGAAATTGGAGACTGCGATCGAATATTGAACCCACATTAAGCAATGACGTGAAACAATTGTTACGAAAGTTATTAGAACCAGATGTCATGAAGCGAATTCCGCTTGACCAAATATTTGGACATTCATGGTTACAGACGTGACTAATAAATATTCCCATCTAAAAAATTATCATTTAATGTAATACATAATAGTAAAATACCTCCTTACCCCCCTCCAAAAAAAGACTATGATTAAGACTTTTTCACTAATAACGGGTCATTCAGCCTTACTCGACTAATTTTACTATCTTAACAATTAAACGCTCTAATTTATAATTTTTATATTTTATCAATTCTAAAATAGCTTAATAATCGGTATATTTGTTGTGTCTGGTTTGTAAAAAAATATATATATATAAAGTTGCTGCTTTCCATTCAATATTTTTTTTTATCAATACATACCTATAATCAATATTTCCAAGGGGAACGTGAAACCTACGTTGAAAACTGTAATAGTTTCAAAATATAAATATATTGATTACTTTAAGAATGTCTCACTTATTGATTTTAATAAAGTATGTAGCAGGTAACAATGGGTGTGTTCATTTATTGACCCGTATAATTACACTTCTACCCACAGATTAAACTGGTGAATTTCCCCAGTTCACTATTGTGTTGTTAATTGTTTAGATTAGAGGACGATCATCTGAGTGTGGAAAAAGATGTTGTTTAACATAGAACGTAGGTTTTCCAACTGGAAGGGAATGTACTATACTTTGCAGTTTTCGATGCTCTGAACGTATTTTTACAAAACCAATAAATATATTATTAAACATCTTTCACTACTTGCAAGTTTTCTGCATAGACATATAAAAAGCTCATCTAAAGTCACTTTAGGCCATAACAACTACCACAAAGCAGCTTTTAGGTGGGACACTGCCGTTGTTGTTCTTTTAGCTCGAATCTACATAACGGGCTATCTGTGCTTTGTTCACCTCGGCGAATCGAACCCCATATTTTACCAAATTCGTAAACTTACTGCTTCCCCTCCGGAGGATTGTTACGTTGCTATATGAGCGCATGATTAAACGTTTAGCTCATAACGTTCTTCTTTCATGGTCTTGAAACACGCGAGAAAAAGTGTAGGAATTAATAAAAGAGGTATAATTGTTGACGTTTTATCATAATGTCTTGCTAGTCTGTACACTATTTCCAGAATAAATTTCATTTTCTGTCATTCTTTTCATCACTTGTGTAGATGTACTTCAGACTGACTAAATCATGGCGATTCAATCATCTCACGATCAACGGTTCTCTATTCTTGGATCTCTTGCATTGTGAAACTTTCTTGGCTGTTACAAACTCCCCAGTGCTTACAAGTTTAGCTTGGCAAGTCACACTAAACGGGTCATTTCCGATAACTTGGGTATCTGTGTAAGAAACTTCCTGTTGTCTTTCAAGTACCTAGTGTAGAGTTGCCGAAACTGTAGTTACATTTTCTGAACATCTTCACCTTCACTGCAGCTCCTAGGTTTTGACTTGCAACTCTTAATGGAATGATTCACAACTGGTTAGTTGACAACAACATAATCAGAAGGCCTAAGAATTCGATTTTAAGTAGCAAAAGTCAAGATTGAAAATGCAGGCTCAAACGAACTCCGACTGGTCAGAAAACTTGGTCATAACTGTAGGTCAAAGTTATAATGACTCAGTTACAGAAGTATTCCGCCCAAAGATTTCTCCTAGAAACATAGTGCGAAAATACAAAGACAAATAAATTGGTTACCCAGTGCTGCGCCAACAGGCTCACGTATACTAACAAGTACCCTGTCTAATAGAATATAATCTCTACTACCTGCGGGCGGCTTGGTCCACTCAGGCATCCTCGGGTCTGACCTATAATCTAGCCGAACTCTTCAAGGTTGTCACAGCTCTGAATGTGATACACACCATCCTGGAATACCATCTGGTTATTATACAAAACAGATGTCGGGTGTAGTTTGAAATAAATGGAAGGGAGTAAAATTGTAGGGCTAGATATCCACACTAGTAACCAAAATAGGTCATACTTAACCGAAGTTCTTCAGACCATACACTTCATTAACACCAACATCTTGCTTCCTTCTTGACTTCATCCAGACACAAGTAGAGCAATTACAAAGCCTTCAGCCTTACATGCACAGACTGCACTTCCATGCATTATGACTGTGTCTTGTATTTAAATAATGTTGATATTTAGAAAATTATGTAATTTTTGAAATATTTCAATCTGAATTAGTGAAAACATTCAGACACAACAAATTAAGACATTGGGCGGACAAAGTTCATATTTTGTCATGTTACATACTACTGTTTGTTAATTTCATTTTATACAGGTAACTTCACATACTCAATCACATTTCACCTGAAATTTGCGTTCGTTACACTTACAAAATAACAGATCAAATTGTTTTCCTGCAAGTGTAGTGTGAGTTGAGCCATTACTCTCACCTCTTTCCATAAAATTCACTACCTACACAATATTTCGACGTCAAAACTGAAATCACACTGGTATTAATGAAACCAACAGGCACGCTGTGTCTTCAGATAATGCTTCACAGGCCTGTAATAACAACTAACTTCATGACTCTAGATCTTAACATTCAGTTCAAATCATTACACTCTCATTAAAATGTTGCCTATAAGTTGTGTTCTCAGTATTTACTTTGTGTTATACAATACTCATAACTGACTTTGTGTATAGCTTCATATAGTGAGAAATATCTCATATATATCTATCTACACATACACACACAAATATTGCCATATACATGTCTCCAACTTTAAAACATCATCACATGCACTAGTAGTTGTTGACAGACTGCCTCAGGCTTGAGCACAACTACCAGGTAAACAGACAGGCTACATCCATCAACAAGACGTAACATGAGACCATCTGTGAGTAGTGAAACTAAACAGTATTTTATAAGCATCATGAAATAAATATTTGTTGAGAAAACTTAGGCAACCTTGGAGATTTTTCAGTTAATAGTCTCTATGCCAGAATTAATGTTCATCCTGTCACCACCTTCTATGTCAATACCCATGCTTATGAACTTTGGCTAAGTACAACTGTATACAGTAAATGTGCTTTTACTGCCTGAGATGGCCACCAACTACGGACCATTATAACATTGTATTCCCTTACAAGTCGATCCATTTGCTTCATTTGGCACCAGATAAAATATAGGTAAGACCAATGAACTAAGACCTATTTCATTAAGATACACAGACATCCAACCTACTGTCAGTGCTGGTAAAAGAACACTAGTCTTTTACCACAGATGAAGAAGTTACATATATTTAAGTGTACTGGTGAGAGTCTCTCGAGCACCCTGCAGTCTGTTCTGGAAAACTGCTACTACTTGATTAAAGAAAGAGGGATTCTTGTAAAACGATAGACTAGCATTTTGCTCAGAAAACAAATGGTAATCAAATGGCAGTTACAAAAGAAATTTCATACATTTTGTTGAACAATACAATCGAACATCTAAAAAAAAAAACAAGGAATGCTACTTCTTTTCAGTCATTGATTTGCTAACAAGCTTACCACCCTATCTTGGATTTTAACTCAGCCCAGCAATCAGGAGGCCATTATTAGCTTTGCAGTCAATAATTTGAGCTGGAATCCTCCCATTCCTTACCCAAACACTTGACTGAGTCAAACATTGGATTATGGTGATTCAGCATCTGGCATAGCATTGCACATCCGTAAGTCCATTTATTCTAGACATCAATCTTTCTTGGCCACATTCTTAAACACATTCTATCTCACCTGGAATTACAGGGGTAGCTTGTCCATCAGCCGTACATAACTCCAGATCACTCCATGATCTGTGGTTGCCTCAGCAGTATTCCCCCTGTCATGGAAAAGCTCTCTACTGCCCCATAGATCACCATCCTCGCCTACAACTGTCTGCTGGCTCCTTACGTCTCTCACTCAGTTGTCAACCAAAGCCAGTGTTAAATTGCTCTGGCTGGCAATCACATTGGGGTCCAGTAGTGATTGTCTCACTCAATCTTTGAGTCATCATGATAATCGCCAGTAATCTGAGCTTCTTATGGATTGAGGCTCAAACTCAGGGAAAAAACTATGTCAGCTGTTCTATGTACACCAAGCAAAGGCAGTTCTTCTTGGGTCTGCACAGCAGTGATGACTGTCAGGGACCTTCGCAGTATATGCAAAAGTCCAATGTTGAAGAGAAAACTTCTCACAGGCCTGTGGGCCACATTTCCTCAGCATCCAACTCTTAATCTAGGTCATACGTCCTTCTACCTGTGAAAAAAACCATTTCCACGTGCTCAAATTCCCAACACACTCATCCCTATAGAATGGAAGAGCACATACATAAGCTAGCATAAAAATGAATCAACCTAAATATCTGAGTGGCATACAGGCATGCTATATTCTCCTGCCATCTATAATAATATAATTATTTTTCTAAATTATAGATTATTAAATTTCCATTCTATCATAGAGGCAATACATGATCCAGGGTGTCTAATATTATCTTGTTCTAGTAACTTCAGACCTTTGTTCTTTAGTCAGATGATGTCCTCTGCCTACAGGGATATTTCAGTATATTTTTAGCCTGTGTTAAGACTAGTTGAACTGAAATATTCTTTGCTGGCTAAAGTATGAAGGCAGCTGAGTCTGATAGCTGTCAGGAAACAGAGAACATGAGGTGTACTTTCCACTGGACAGAGAAATCAAGTTGATATTTGGATTCCAGGTGCTTTCTTTGTATCAGTTTTGCTCCCAGTTTTTTAGAGAGACAAGACCTTTAAGAGTTGGTTCACCATTTATTGTTTAGGTAATACATCTTGTGAAAAGGAAGAATTCAAGAATAGCTATTGCATAACTTGGACGGTCTGTTTTGAGTTTCTTTTGTGAATAAAGATTTTTGTTTATTTATCCAATTGTTTGTCCAGCATGGTTCACTTTCTCACAAAATGAACACTTGGTTCAATTATCTTTAATCACATGAAGTCTCATAATTCTTCCTGGTCAGATTCTGCTGTTACTGTGCATAATTCTATTTGATACTTATCTGAAAATCCCATATCAGTTACTAACATTTTGGGGTACCTTCTCTCATGTTTCCATGGCACTGCCTCCATATATAAAAATTAAGCACTATATGGTTAGTACTTTGTTATTAGTACTAGTACACCTGAAAAAGGTTTAAATTTCTACCTATGAGTTCATTTCAGATTGATGTGGATGTTTAGGGCAAATAATCATTGCTCCTTGCTATTGATTGTTAGAATGCTACCAGTCCTGTAATGGCTGCACTTAATGGAAGACCTTCAGAAATAAGTAAAATATATATGTATTATATGAAATTAGCTAAGTTATATTGCACTTATGGTAAGCTTATACATAGTGCTAGTGTGATATAGAGTGACAGACGTTACTCACCTTGGATAAGAATGAGGAATATGTCCTTTCCTGTGATTTTCCATTTAACACACCCAGCTACCAATAAAATATTTATATGTATCCAAACTTTTACATGCCTTCAATGACTCCACAGTAAACTGGAATGGACTGTGTAATCTGGGCATTGATGTGGGGCAACTGATTGCTCTGGCACTTATCAAGTGTTGAAAATGTTATTTGTGGTAAGTGTACACTTGAATGGTAGCAAACATTCTCTTCGATCCATAAGTGATGGAAAAACTATAAAAAATTTTGACTTGTTAGTTGCCATGTATCTATGAGGAGCCAAACAGGATTAGTATTTGGTATTATTTTATCAAATATACTCTTGTTATTTACTGAACATTTTGCCTTCTTGTTTTATAAATTTTTCACAAATTATTCTGGCAAAAGTATTTAACCTTTTAACGTTGTCCATTTTGTAGTTATACAATAACTTTTCTATGGTTATTTCTTGCACACAAATCTTAATTTTACATCTGTACTTTTGTTGCCAATAAGCCAGCTTTTGAACAGTGTAAGAAAAAAAAAATATCATAGTGAAAAATCTGAAAAACAAAAAAAATTATTAGAATTCTGGCCAACCATATTTGTTAAAGTATCAGTATTATCAAACTTTCTAAGTTACCTTAAACAGATGCTAACATATTGCCTACCAATAACGGAACCTCCATATGTGACTACTTTTTATTATAATGAGTAAGTAGAAATATTTGGCTAAGCCCATTATAATTTCAAAAGATGTTTGCTGAGAGAAAGGAATTTAATTTGTTCATTTTATCTTTTTTTTTCAATTTATATAAGTAATTATAACACAGACGAGAATTACTGAACAACACAATTATTGAACACTTTATTACTATACTACCCATACAAGTCATTCATACATGATGCATTCATCATTCTTTATGTCATCTAAAAGACACGATTATTCAAAATCAACTTTTTCTAGTTCCTACTCACACTGGTTTGTTAAACACAACTTTTTTGTTACTTTTATTCAAATATAAAATGTTTTAGATTTGTTTTCAATCTTCACAAGTGTTAGATGGCCATATACACAGAAAATATTCTTCTTAGAAAAAATATTCTTGTATTCCTACATAGTACTATTTAAATTCTGTTTGTTTGTTTTTAAATTAATCCCACTCAACAAAGTTAGCAAGGGTTTGTTGTTCTGTTTGTGTGTTTAATAGGATGATTAATCTGATATGAAACTCCAATAAACATCTATTTTCTACACATTATGTTCTTACTGTGAACACATTCTCTTCAGTAAATTTAACAAAAGATAATAAAAAATTATATTACAAATACATGACTAATTTATAAAGATTTTCCTTTTTAATTATTGATTTTAATACTTATATTATTCCATAATTCAATATAAGTGTGTTCTACAATTTAAAAGATCAGCTATTATAAAAATGCATCTCATACAAATATTGTAGTTAATTGCATATTACATTATTAACATTATAATTTTTATTTTCATTGCTATGAAATGAGAAAGTTAGATATATATTTAAAAGTGAATTGAACTCCACATCGTTTCAGGTCAAAAACAGTTAATACGTTAGGACTAGTTTTCTATTATTTGTCAAATTACTTGGCAACTTTTACCAAAGTCACTGGGGAAAGTAATGTTCATTCTTGGAATATTCAATGTGGGTGAATGAAATATAACTATCTGTAGTTATTCCAAACCCAAGCTTGAGAATCAACCAATTAACTTTACATGATATTACTCTGTCTTTTATCCTTGAACAGGAAATGCTACTGTTTTATCTGTAACTCATTAAGCCCACATCAATTAAACATTTATACCATATTATTAGTTTTCACTTAGTTATTAAAAGCAGTAAACATATTGGCAACATTATGTAATAACTTTATTACTATGACAGAATGTGTATTTGGAAAAATACACTTGATACGCTGTTGCCCTAGCAACAAAACATCACACCTAAATCACGTAATATTGGTTGACTAGTTACATTTTGAAAACTCGTACAACACTAAATGAAACTACATAACATCATAACATACACTACCTCACAACTCAATTCTACCAATTACAGTATAATATCAGAGTGCAAACTGCTACAATTTGGGACAAAACATACAGCAAACAGAAAATATCAGCTGTTAAAGCATTTTCAGCAACTCACACAAGTTCTGCATACTTTTGCAGTTTTATGAAATGGTTTATTTTTTATTCATTGAAGCCCAAGAATTTAAAAATGGCTAACATACAACTACACAGTTTAATAAACATCCAAAAAAGTTGTTTTAATACCGAAGAAAATAAAACAGAACAACGACTTGACAGCTCTTATTGTAATAAGTCCACTCACATTCACTGTTCCTCAGTATAACCTATACTACCTCCTAAAAAATGCAAAAAACTAAAACTAAATTTATCATAATATACAGTGTTTGCTTTTGCTACTTCAGACTAATAAAAACAAAACTGCAAATTAAAGATAACTGTGAAAAAAAGTAATATATATGAAAAAAAAAAAGTTAAAAGGCATGGAAACACTAAAAATATAAATAAATTATCCAGAAATAAGACAGGGTACAAGTAACTAAAATATGGCACAAAAATTTTAAAATTGGTGAAATATGTAATGTGTCATTCATATGATAAAGCATTAAAACCACTTTGGTATACATACACAAAGAAAGAAAATTAATGTTATCTACTGAAATTTGCCACCTAATTTTAACACAAAAATTTTAAAAGTGGTGAAATATGTAATGTGTCATTCATAAGATAAAGCATTAAAACCACTTTGGTATACATACACAAAGAAAGAAAATTAATGTTATCTACTGAAATTTGCCACCTAATTTTAACACAAAAATTTTAAAAGTGGTGAAATATGTAATGTGTCATTCATAAGATAAAGCATTAAAACCACTTTGGTATACATACACAAAGAAAGAAAATTAATGTTATCTACTACTGAAATTTGCCACCTAATTTTAACACAAATATTTTGTGCAGCAGTTTTGTATGGAACAGCATTGCAGGCATGCTGAGAAAAAAAACACTTTCAAATGACTATATGAATGTTTATATATAATAAATATATTCCTTAACTAACATCAAGTAACTTGTATTAAACAGAAGTACGGTAATGAAGGAATAAGATCCACTGGCAATGCATAAATAAATTAATACAAATAACAGAAATGTAAAGAAAATATTTCTTCCTAGTATATACAATTAAATTTACTGAGTACCAATGTAATGAAAATATATCTAACAGCTATAAAACTAATTCAACTTTTCATAAAAATTGATTATAAATAGTGGCACCAATCTCGGCCATTTCTAAACTTTATTTATATTTTAAATAAAAACTCAATTGATAAATAATAATCATTAAATGCATTTAAACAAGAACTGTAAAATCTAAACGTCACAATGAAGGGGTATATTTAATGGGAGAGGAACATAACATTTCTATTGCACTCAATCAAATAATGTGCTGAGTGTAACTAAAATAAAAAATATGGCTATTACATAGCAACACAGAAATCTGAATTACACCTTTATTGAGATAAGCTCCTAAAATAAAAGTGTAGATCAAACAATGTTTCATTCTTCAACTAAATCTACATTTTTTTCCTACAAAATAGTATGTATAACAAGCAATATTAAACACAACAAGAACAAAAATTATAAATAAAAAACGAATTATTATACCAAACTATTTTATTCAACAATAACAATAAAATAAACTCTTTCTGACTTTAAGTAACCAACATTCTTGTTTTTTGATGACATTAGAAACCTTGATTTTCCAATCGACTGTTTAAATAAATTATTGAATGAGATATTCAACATATAAAATCTTTTGGAAGCAATTTTCATAACAATGATTTTTGATTTTGTGACTAGTATTTCTTAAGTAAATATAGTTCAAAGTTTTAATCATGTTTAATCAGACAGATTTTGTATTTTTAAACTTACCCAATAGACAAATTCCTCAGATAAAATGAAACAGAGTTTCTGTGGTTGGCAACACTAACCCAACACTTACATCTGAATTCAAATACAAGCTAAAAAAAACTAAGCATTTGAATACAAATTTTAAAAAGAAGTAGTCCAGAAATAACTAAGGCCAAAATGTTAGCACTATATTCTAAAAGTATAAAATAATAAAGGTACATGTACAAAACAACACATGTACCAAGACTGTTTCTTCACAAAAGTGACCTTGAATGTTATGTCATTCAATGCTGTATATTATACAAAAAATGTTTGAGTCTCAAAATTAAGTACTTGAGATACTGACTTAGATACTTGTTTTTGAATCTGTAATCACAAAACATAAAATATGGATTATCTTATTTAAAATGTATATTTTTGCCCACGATTACTAAAAAAAATCTATATCAATAATATGATATTTTTGGTTTGGAGTTAGTTAACATAATTGATTTTTTCTTTATTTTTTTAACTTTGTAATCAAAGGTAAAGTATTTCAGATGAATTTATTTTTGAAACAATCATAACAGATGACAGATTATATATTCCAGTGTATAAGTTACACAGAAAGCTTGACCCTGAATACAAGTTTAAGCTGATGGAATTTCAAATGAAAGCACCACATAAAGGAAATTATATACTGATCTAATAGTCCTGCTTGTCAACCTCTTATCAACTCAACAGTGTATGTAGCAAATACAACATAAAACAGTTACATTCTGCCTACTTAGGCATGTATGGAATCGGAGAAGGTGTCCGATTAACATTTCGAGTAGATACCTTTAATTCACAAGGACTCTTTCTTTCTTCTTCTCGCAATGACTCCCACTTCTCTAAAATCTCAGCAACTTCTGGATGACCAAATAACATGGCTTCATCATAAGGTGTATGACCCCATCTAGAGAAAGGAAATTTCTATATTTTTATGCTTAAAAGAGAAAAATTAGTTTACAACATGAAGTGTGTTGTAACGTAATAGCAAAAAAACCATTACTTTTTGATAACTTATTTACAGGTATCTCCTAACAGTTGTTTCAAGTGATTTATCAGAACAAAAAAAAGGCAAAAAAAATTTTGTTTTTGAGATGCAATTTCACAATCATTTTTATATGACATTTACAAAAGAGTATTTCCTACGTATGCATGCTACCTTAGCAGGTATACGCTAAAAAAAATTAAACATAAAGAAATAGGAATTGTTTGATCTACAATGCTTGTGAAAAAAATCACAACATTTTCTTTAAACAATATAATAAATTCCAATCACACACAAAAATTCAGTCACACTAATATTTCCTTTCTTACATAACTAGCAAATTACATTAATAACAACATAATGGAATTTCACTGAAACAACAACAAAAATATTAACCTAGTTACTTACCGATCTTTTGGCTTGTGTTCAACTCCACACACTTTAAGGAGAAAATTGACACATTCAGAGTACCCCTCAGCTGCTGCTAAGTGTAGAGCTGTTCTTCCATCATAATCACACTGTTCCATGTCCATACCAGAAAGGTAATGCCTGGAAGGTGAATAACATCAAATCAAGAGAAGCATGCTTTACTTTTAATTTCTTTTAGTAGGTAGACATATACATATGTGATCTTTGTAGTAAGCGGACATACCCATGTGATCTTTCTATTAAGTAGACACATATGTAATCTTTGTTGTAAGTACGTATACACATATGCTAATAGCAGGTAAATACACAATACCATGTAATCTAAAATAAAGTTTAGATCCAATTTATGGAACAAGTTTATATGGCAACAAATTTTGACACTTTCACATGTCCTTTTAGTCCAGATTTTGCTTATGAGAGAAACACAAACAATTTATTTTATAACGGAAGTTATAAGTTAAAAAAGGATAATGATAGCGTAGTAACTAAATCTGACAAACCAAACCAAATGGTCATCATGAACAAATCTACCTAAGAAGCAAAACTGAAGGATGAAATTACTTTGTGAGAAACTTTTCAAAAAATTCTACCTGATTATTCTGATCTCTGAAAAATATTTAAATGGATGATCTATTCTCTGCACCCCCCCCCCACCCCCCCATTCTGGTGTAGTGCCAGTGCTGGTTCTACTTAACACTATACCTCAAAGTATTTAACACATAACAGATCACTAAAGAATTATGTTTTTAATCAGTAAGGAGACTCAACACTAAGCATTAAAAAAAAGCAATATAAGTTTAATCAAATAATGGTATTTTTCACACTAATTATGGAAGTTCAACTTATTAAATGATTTTCATATATGCATGGGAGATGGTGCCTCAATGATGAATAAGCATTGAATCAAGATATCTGAATTTCACTACAAAAGCTGTAGCTGAATTTAACAAAGGATTTCTAAGCGAATGATTTTTTTAACCCTGAGATTAACTTCAACATAAACTGCTAAAATTATTTCATGTTTAAGACGAAATGTTAAATTTCGACTTGTGAGCATATTGTTTGAGTTTATTTGAGAGTTCAATTATGAAAAAAATCCTCAAAGTACAGACAAGTGAGAAACACAAAACAATATCTTCAGATTCTTACAAGAACCAATGCTAGTCAGGATATTAAATTCAAAGTACCAAGTGAACCTTAGTATGGCTACTTCTGTAATACTCTAAACAGGTGATTTTTTTGCATTTAGTTGTATTCTCTAAGGATCACATTCTGTCCAGTACATTAAGAGAAAAATGTAACGAGTGAAGCTGAATCAATGAAACTAACCTCCTCATTGCTGTCACATCTCCACTTGCAGCACTAAACAACAAACTAACAATTTTAAGCCCTTTTGTTTCATACTTCTGTCTTCGAGGATCTCTTTTTTGAGTTGTGTGTCGAAGATTATCATAATGATGGAAATTGAAGAGGCGAATAAATTCCTGAAAGAATAAAAATAATCATTTTACACCTTGAAGTAAGTACAATAGCACAGTTTGAATTGAACCAGCATTGTTTCCTTTATCAAACTCTTATTTACAAAAATCTATCAAGACTTCAACATGACTAAAACCTATAGATAAAAAACAACAACTAAATACACCTTCACATGTAGCAAATTACATGTATTAAAGACAAAAAAAATGCACATATAAATGTCAGAAAATTTTGTAATTGTATAAAATGCTGGAAGAGGATATAAACAGTTATACAACTAGACAGATGTTTTGCTTATTCCCAAATCTAATACAAAAAAAAAAATTCTTTAGTTTCCTTCCTATACATTTGTGAGATAATGTTTTTTTTATTTTTAGTAATGATTTGATTTTGTTTAACATTTATGTACTTTTCCTTCTATCATTTGATTCAGTTATATTCATTTTCCTTAAATGCTACCTTACTTGCCTCCTAGTGTATATTAGATATTAAACAAGTAATTTTATATTTAGACCACCATGAAGTTCCCCTGGTAGTGATGTGTGGATACTAAATTCATGTATGGTTTTTTAACACAAATGCTAAGCTGTTTGTCATGTGATAAGTTATCTCATGGTCTGGGAAAGAAATAAAAAGTTATTGTCAGAGCTGCCAAAATGTGATATGTACGATTTTGATTGTTAAAAGAAATTATTGTAAATACTCACTTGATCAATATTTGTATTTCAAATAATCTTGTGAATTAGGTTTTTATGGTTATTTTTTGTTATTGTTGCTATTATTATTTTGTGTGCTTTGCTATTAACAATGTTGCTTTTATTTTTCAGATTGTATTTAAAAATTGAGATATTTAGTTACAAAATCCTGGTCAGGCACTACTTAACTTCTTGTTGATATTTTGTAAAACATGTATTGTGTTAATAAGTTCATAATTTATTGCATTCTAGTAACAGCATGGTTGATTGATATGTTACACTGATAATGTGAGTGCTTGAAACTTTAAATATTTATTTGGGTTTCAATGTAAATAAATTTATAACATAGAAGAAAATAATTATTCTAATAGCTCATTTTCAAGAAAACCACACTTACCTGCAAAATGGAGTTGAACTGACATGAAACTAGATATCAATGAGACACTTTCAAGATAATGAGAAACTCATTAGATATTTACTTTTCTACTGGTTAATTTCTAACATTTAAAATCTATCTAAAATATAATACCATTAGTTATTCTATTCTTGTAACATTTATCTACTGCATAGTTCCTCACCTCGCAGAACTGTACTCCTCGTACTGAGTTACCATAAACATCTAGTGGTGGTGACCAAAGACAGATTCCCATTACATTAGGTACAACAATCATGGTACACCCAGATACACCTGACTTTGCTGGTAAACCCACCTACAAACAGGATCAAATTACGATGATGATAGCAGCTTGCTAAAAGTTCCAGTTTAATGACCAGATTACTACAAATTTACTATATTAAAAGTTATGATGAAGCAACTGAAATATGCTTAAAAAGTAGCTATTTTACAAAGGTCTAAATATCAGAATGAAACTGTTATCTAAGATTGTTATTATGTGTTGCTAAATTTCTAAGGATTAACTGTTTTCATACTAAAGATTGTACAAACCTCAGTAAAAACAACTAAAACATTGTACAAAAATTCAAAATTTCATACACAAAAATATTTCAAGTTCCACAACAAAAGTGTTTCTAAGGTCTAACAGTTTTTTAAGTATATTTTTTCTACTTTTTAAAAAACTAGTGCAATGAAAAATATCTTTGTAACGAATTTGTTATTATTTATTTATTTTAATATCAACATTATTTATATTTACAAACATGCATAGCTTATAGTGTTAAATATGTATTGGTAAACTCCAGTCTATTCTCCAAAGTTTTAGAAGATTCTTGAGAGTAAGAATCAACAATATATGTATGTATGTAAATGTAGCATTAGTATTGTTATGTAAAACTGAATTTTCTAGAAAGCCTCCACATGCCTATAAATATAACCAATGCGCTGTACCAAAAAAAGAGTATCTATTATTAGTTTGCTATAGTCAGTGTGCTATAAATTTTGGAAGCTATAACTGCGATTGTTATAATGCTTATCAATCGGAAAACTTCAGATATTTGACCAGGAGCAGTTACAAAGTTCAAACATTACAAATCATTTAACTTCAGTGAATTCTCATCGGACATTAGTATTTTCACGAATACATTATATAGCTTCATCATGGAAAACTCGGCGTGTGTGGCTGGTAAATAATGAAGGACAAAGCTAGCTAGCTTACTGTTAAGTGAATTATACCTACATCAACTTCTAATCAACTCACTCATTGTGAACCCTCGATAAGATATCAAAGAAGTTCCAGTCTAGAAAGAAGACTTTATATTGCTTGTAAATTTGTGAAACTTTTGTTTATGAATCATTGTTTGTAATAATTGTTATTG